TTATTTTAAGTAGTGTATAAAAAGCCCAATTTTTTTCATAGGTTTTTTCAATTTTTTGTGCGAAGCCAATGTTGCAGGAAAACTATCAAGTACTCTACATAAACCCCTTAACATGAGCTGTTTTGCATTAAGTGCAAAGTACATCAACTCATCCAGTAAAAATTTTGTTTGGGTGAAACTTTGCCTTGGTTTTTGCAAAGTCATGCCCACCTTCAGTTTTATCGATTTTCTGTCAATAGCATACACATACACAGACACACAGACATCTTCTGTTTTAGAGATATAGATATATATAATGCATGTACTAACAATCACCTAACAGCACTTGAGGACGATTAGGTTTTATATTATAGCAATTGTCTGTCAATGCTACTGTTCTATCTTAGTTTATTTTCTAGAAGTATTGAACACTATAGATTTTTCTGAGGCAGGTGTCTGCTTTTTTCTCTTTTGTCTTTTTTCTCTTTTTTCTTTTGTCTATTACTTGCTTTATACAGGGTTGCGATGGGTAAATTGTCGCTATTTTATATTTTTAATTTTGCGCATGAGCATTGTTTTTGATTTTGTTGACTGCAAATTATAGTAGGGTCAGTTGTGCACCATCTGTGAGAAAAAGAGCACCATGACACAACTCACTCCATCAGAAATTTGGAAATGGCATGCTGTACTACTTGTCATTTGCACCAGAAGCTACAATACAAACATTTCAGAGTATTTTGAGTATCTGAAGACAGTACTGAGGATTCAGAAAGAGTTGGATGAGTCTAATGGTGATTATGAAGTTACTGCAGCTAAGAAAACTCACTGTGATTGTTCTGATAAGAAAAGAACCCCTGAATTTGTTTGTGAGGGCCTCAGACTCAATATGAAGGCCTACATCATGTGCCTTGAAGAGGTAATTCTGCCTTAGGTCAAAAGGGTGGCTGCTGGAAGATCCTAAGTCTAGTAACAGGACTCTGTGCCACAAGCAGGAGAACCCAGTCATGGCTTTCAGACAATTTCTGTGACCAGATCACCCCTTACATCTGGCCATCTAACTCCCTAGACTGCAACCCCCATGATTATTATATATGGGGCACAGTTAAGCGAGAGATGAACAAAACTCCTTGTAATACCAAAGATGAACTGAAGGCAAGGATTCTGTCAGAATTCACCAACTTAAACAAGGAGAATGTCCAGAACAGTTGCAGATTTCAAAGTCATCTGGTTGAAGTCAGTCGCAATTTTTATTGAATAAATTTACACTTTAGTATTTCAAGATATTTTAAATATATCTGTTAAAATGAGATGTCAGTATTATTTTCATATTTGCATAATCTGGACGACAATTTATTCATCGCACCTATATATATATATATATATATATATATATATATATATATATATATATATATATATATATATCATTTATTTAAAAATATGATTCCAAAACGCGACATAAGAAGTCTCATGTTTCAAAACAAGAGCCGAAAACTTCAATATAATTATTTAAATTAAATTGAGATAAAGTAAGCTCTGTTCCATCTTCAAGTGAATTTTATATATATATATATATATATATAGTTTTAAGGTATGCTATATTTATGGGTTAATGGGCTTAATATCAAGGATAGAACATATGTAAATATAAAAGTGAACATTGAGGTCAACAAAATACTCTTAGGAAAGGTATGAATTCATTTCTTCTCTCTCTAGCTATGAGTAAATAGTAGGATATACTGGGCCCTTATAGTCTTGGCTAGAAACCAAGTCTAGGAGAAGGAAAAACTGAATTCAGCACCTAAGGAGTGTTGTTTGGAGACCTTGTGGCACACTGTATGCAACAGTTCTCTCTATTCATTTCTTACAAAACATGTCATTGGATCTGCTCAAGCCTTAACCACTGTAATCAAATTATATGTGCAAGTAATCTGAGGATCCAGCAGTCCAGTTCATAGAACAGAACTGTTGGATCCACATGTCTTGAAAATGATGGGAGGGTCTATTATATATAAATAATTTTTCTTGACTCAGGTTATCCTAAAATAGTTCTAAATATCTTTAAGCGTTAATTTCCTCTGAGATTTTCATGAAAATAAAAGAAAACAATGCATAATTTCTGTTCTTCAAAAATCAAATTGAATTTGTTTCTTGTCATCAGCGAAACAAGCTACAGGGCAACAATTAAGTAGAGAAATGATAACTGTTTCTGTTAAATAATTGGCTGATTTCTTGCAGTGAGATTCTGTTTCAGTTGATGCGCAATATTGACAGACCAGCAAAATCCTGGATTCATTATTAGGTTCCTCGTTTATTTAATTCGTGAAATCATGGGTAGGACTTGTAAAAGACATCAAATTGTGAAATCATGGGTAGGACTTCTAAAAGACATCAAATTGTGAAGTAGGGACAGGGAGAAATGAAACTATTAGGTTGAGTCAGAAATAAGTTTTGTTTTTGATTATTAACTTGATTTCAGAAGATGCTAAGTATCACATTTAAAATTTGGAAACAATTATTTTGGAATCAAAATTATATTGATATAGATTTAGTAGTAGTAATCATTTTTTTTTTCAATCTATTATGTGAAGCATTGTCAAACATTATTAAATTTTTAACTAGTATTCAGGTTAATTATATTAGGTTATGTTAGAAATAATTTTCCATTTTTGTTTATCAACTTTATTCTACACTAGCTTAAAAGCTACACTCTGTGTGTAGTTTTAAGCTAGCTCCTGTGGAGGGCTAATTTGGCCTCTAGCCCAAAACTAAACAGTCCTCTGGTCTAGTTTCTAGCTTAGAAAACAGCAATGATAATTTCCGTTTTTGTTTATCGACTTCATTCTTCACTAGCTATTAAACATTTTGGGGGATGGATAATTATTGCATACTGTTTGGCCAATTTTGTTGTTACACCCGATATATATATATATATATATATATATATATATATATATATATATATATATATATATATATATATATATATATATATATATATATACTAATAGTAATACTTGTTTGGAAAAAACCTCAGATAGCTCAAATTGTAGATATATCAAAACAAATCGGTACCTGAGGAAAAATTGAAAATAAAAAAAAAGAAAGAACTAAAAACATCTGAACAGGGTGAAATAAATTGTGCAGTGCCTTAAGTCTTTAGTCCAAAGAAAAAAACCCAAGTGAGTAGTAAGACTAAAATGTAGAGTGTTCAATATGTGAAGTAGAGCATGAATAACTAAAATAAATCCTAAAGAGCCAGGAAAACCTACCTAGGTTTCATCTAGATGGATCTTCAGGGTAAGCTTACCCTGAAGATCTGTTTAGTTGAAACCGAGGTAGGATTTCTTGGTTCTTTAGGATTTATTTTAGTTATATGCATGTGTGTGTGTGTGTGTGATTAAATGAAATCTGCTCTGAATTGTGACAGTTCAAATCTTATATATTTGCTTTTCTGCCACAAATGTAAAAAAGGAAATTTTGTTTGGGAACCTGGAACTGAATTCCATCTTCAGTTCAGTAACCATAAAATAACCATCAGGGACAACAACAATTTCCCTGTCACTGTACACTTCTACAAACCATTCCATAGCATCGATGACATCAGATGTATGCTTTTATTGTCTTCATTCAACAGCCGAGAAGAAAGACAGATCAGGTTTGAAATTTTTTTTCAAAATAAATTCAAAAGTTAAGGTATTAAACAGAGATTTGGGTTTACTGAGAGAGTATAATTTCCACAGGGATACCTCTAACCAAGAATATTCTTCTTTGTTTATGCCTCATATCATTGATAAAGAACACAGGTGTGTTTTCAAATTCCGACATTAAGATCTATTTCTTTGTGCTTCAATTCAGTCAAAAGGTGTAATAAATATCAATTTTATTGAGAATATTGGTATCATTTTGTTGGCTTTTTATTTTTCAAATTTTGTTAACTGGCATATTAAATTTACATATGCATATATATATATATATATATATATATATATATATGATGTGATAGAATAAGCTGCCACCCCCATGGGGGTGGCACTATAGGTGGTAACCACCTATAAGTATTCGTTAGGACAGCGGGCGGAAGAGTCGAGCTGGGATCTGCAAGACTAGTGGCCTTCTGATAGTAGCATGCACACAAATGTACTGACTTGTGATGACCGTGCACATAACTATTACTTCCTTGCTTGTTGTACTGGTTTCTACAATAAACCTGTTACTATTTATCCACTGTGTTTGTCCATTCCATATTTCTATTAGCACGGAATATAACTATATATATATATATATATATATATATATATATATATATATATATATATATATATATATATATATATATATGCTTTCAAGATGAAATGAGAGCAGGTGTGGAGGAAATTAGATCCATTAAAATCATGGCCTTAAATCAACAGGGGGCCTGGACGAAATGGGGAAACCTAGAAAAAAAGATTTCCTTGACAGCTTTCCGGTATACTAATCCCAGTAATACAAGTTTCCTTGTGCAGAAAGTGTATGATATGTTGCCCAGTCTAGCAAATCTTTACATATGAGGAAAGAATGAGTCTCCATTTTGTCCATTGTGCTATAAAAGAGGATCCCTCCAACACATATTGAGCGGTTGCCCCAAGGTACTAAGCGAGGTGTGTTATCAGTGGTACCATGATAAAGTTTTAGGAGCAATTGCAACAATAGCCTCAAGGAGTCTAAAAAAAACCCAGATATGAACTGAATAAGATGATGATGATGATGAATTTTGTCAGAGCTAAGGAAAACGTAAAGACATCACAGATGAAGAAAATGTCCCTCTTCAGCTCTGTCTTGGACTGGAAAATGTTAGTAGATATAGGCAAGCAGCTTAAATTTCCAGTGGAAATAATACAGACTAAGCTTTATCCAGACATGATTATTTATTTTGAAAAGACCAAGCAAGTCATCATATCAGAATTAACAGTCTCATGGGAAGAAAATATGGACAAAGCCTATGAAAGGAAACTTGGGAAATATTTATAGATTGTAAAGGAATGCAAAAGATGTGTTTGGTGAGCTCAGTGCGAACCAATTAAAATTGGTTGCAGAGGCTTTGCTGGGTGGTCACTAAGTAAGATGTTGCCAGAATTAGGTGTAACAGAGTTGGTAAAAAACAAAACTATTTCTTCAATAACAATGGCAGCAGAAGAAGCCTCTAGATGACTATGGCTGAAAAGATCAAATGATTGGCTGTCAGTAAGAGGATGAAAGGAAGTTGGGATATATCTATCTTTTTATTGTTTTTTTCTTTTTTGATTTTTTTTTTTTTGGTGGTGTAGGTCTTGGGTGTGACCTAAAACTACACCCAATAATGGTCTCGACTAGGGGACAGAATTAGGATACCTTGGACCATTGTTCAAGATGATCTCTGACTAAGATCTAGCACCTGTTTGTCCCCCCCCCACCAGGTTACAGTTTTTTAGATGTATATGTTGGTATGTATGTGTGTGTGAGTGTGTCTTCATTGATATGTGTGTGTGTATGTGCATGTAATTCATATGGGGAGGGTCAAATTTTTTTTTTATATTCTTTGAGTGAATGATTTAACATGAATAGAAATGGGATAATTGTAAGCAGAATGTGATTCTTGAGTGTGTATTCGTGTGTGTACATGTATGTGTATATGTTTCAGTGAGGGTAACAAATCGTTATTTACCACTTGAAGCTAAGTATGCCGCCATATAGAAACTGTGGTTGCGTTTGCTTCCTTTTTTGTTATGGAAGAGTGCACATTGCTGGTGATCTGGAATTTATCCAGGATTGGACTATAAATTGCCAAGAGGAGTCGCAGTGTGTGTTTGCGAGGATGGAAAAAATTGTAGCTAATAGAAGGTACACAAGTCAATACCTGATCAGTATCGGCTGAGTCACTGTGGAAAGGGGGTATGATGTTGAAAGACCCGAAACCCCTAATGAACCTCGGCTAGAAACATCACTTATGATGTGTACCAAACATCCAATTGATGTATTTTATGAAATATATATGCGTGTGTGTGTGTGTACATAAATGCAGCCCTAATAAGAAAGGAACATGCTTAAGTACAAAGAAAATATTTAGAAGGGATACAAATAAACACTTTCCCATTAATAAACACATGCCAAACACTATTCCATATCACTAATTTTCATAAAACCCATAGTTAAAGAATTTACAATCTGCATACCTGTGCTCAATATAACGTAATTCTTTCAATCCCACATCAAATATTCCCTAATCAACATTGTCAGACAGAAACAAGAAGGACCATGAGATGCATGCATGTGCATCCAAATCCTGCAAGATCAACTAGAAATAGGATACACAAACACATAGGCACACTAACATCCCACTATTGTCTTCAGGAGTTATATGCATAGACACTAACAGACTGACACAAAATACCCATTAGAATTTAGATGTAGACACACACACATTAACACTGCAAGACAAAGAAACGCAAGGTTCACCTGACCAATTCAAAACAAACAAAAGTATGGGAACTTTCACTTCCATAATTCATTTCCCAAAATTTCTAATGATAAAAGCGAAACATGTTGAATTGACGGAAGCATTAAGAAAGAAAGTGATCCTGAAACACATTTTTTTTTTAAAATCATTTTCATTCCAAACAAGTTGATAATGCCATTAGGATGCAGGGGGTTTACAGGAAGTGAAGGAGAATAAGACTTTAGAGATGAAAAGGACAATAAAACAACAGGGTTCAGGAAAACAGAAAATGGTGATTGACATTGCACTTAAATTTTTGAAGATTGTAGGTGGCAGGGAAACAAGAAATTGGAAGAGAGTCCCAAAGGCAAGAAGTTCAAGAAAAGAAATTAGTAGAAAAGAACGGATGTTTGTATCTAGCAAGTTCAACAACAAAATGTTGGGATTTAGTTGCCAATCTAGTTACACACTTAAATTCATGCAGTTGAGACACCAAGGAACAATATTTTTCCTAGTTGTTCCTTATTCTGTCCTAAACTATGATATATATATATATATATATATATATATACAGATTTAAAAATACAGGAAAGCATTCTTCTTAAAGGATCCCTTTCGACCAACACATTGTTAGAAGTAAATGTTAATTGACCAAGAAAACACAATTCACACTGTGAGAAAATATAAGGAGAAAAAAGAACCATGACTAAAATACAAAATTTATTAATAAAACTTATTAATAAAATGAAGGGTGGTAAAAAGGAGAAATATACAAGCAAAAAGCCTAATGTAATATATATATATATGGAGGTGTCTTGAAAATTCCTCAGTTTAATTAAGAAGCAGTTTCAAAAAAATTTCTAATGTTCATTTGGTCCGTTTTTCAGAAATGGATTAAGCTGAGAACTTTTCAGCACCTCTTCAAATATTTGCTAAATTTTATATGGGAAATGTACTAAATATCAGAGACAGATCAGATTTAGATATACAGAGATATAGAAAATGAACACTGCAGACCTTATACACAAACAAATATATATATTTAGTGTATTGGGGCAGCAGATCATTATTTAAACATATATTATTAAATATAACAGACAGTGAATGTCTATTATGTCTGATCATAAGCCGTTCTAATGTTTGAATGTTTAGGACCAACTTAATAAAAAAATAACCAAATGTTGGACAATTTTTGTGTTTATTTTCACCAGAAATTAAAGCAAACACTCGAATATTAGAAAGGCTCATGATCAGACATAATAGCCATTCATTGTCTATTATGTTTAATAATATATGTTTAAATATATATATATATATATATGTTTTGCCCCAAGTGCTTTTGACGAATTCTTTAGGCATTTCAAAGAGATTTGTTGTTAACAATTAATAACAAACCTCTTGAGAATGGCTAAAGAATTGTGTTTGGGACAATAGACACTACAGACAATTTTCCATTCCCTTATACCTGCCAAAGGGAAAAATACATACATATATATATATATAAATCAAATATGGGATGCAGTTCAATTTATATTACACTGAATCATTCATACAAAAAGTAGATTAGTAAAGTTAATGATATAAAATGGTGAATTCCCTTCTCAAACAAAATTTTAAAGATGCATTAACCTACCAATCACTCGATGAATGTTATGATCCTTGTTTTTAAAAATTATAAGCTGTATAAGGTCTTTCTTTAATACACAAGTACTTTCAACTGGACATTCAGTTATCTTCAGGCATGGAAATTATTTTGTTTTTGGTAAAATTCAGGTAGTATCTGAGACAAAAAATTAAATGCATATATATATATATATATATATATATATATATATATATATATATAAAGATGCAAAAATTTAAAAACAAAACCAGGAAATTATTAAAAAATGTTCCTGGTTAAAGCTCATTGAACATAACCTGAAAACATCCATATTCTATGGGTTATGAAAAAAATAGATAAACCACGCACACACACACACACACACATATATATATATAATAACAGAAGGATCTTATAATATTTTTACTGAAGTGTTTACAAATTATTTATTTCTTGTCTTTTAATTAAAATTAAATTGTTATGCAAATTTTTCCCTCTTATTTTTTTCCTTCTCAGATTCTAATATTATTCCTGTAACTTAATTTATTATGGCTGTGAGGAGTTGAGGAGGGGTGTACTTACCTCCTCCACCTGGTCCCCAACTCTTCATCATGATTCACATGATGCCTGCCTCCCCTTCCACTAATCTGTTCAACATGTAAATCTGTTGTATTTAATTAGTTTATCTCAATGACTAACTTTGTACTTTTTCTTGACTCTCAGTTTTGTTTAAGCTTTCCACTCCACTCTGCTTTCGTTTGTTCGCCATGTGATTATCTCCTACAGATCTAAGGAGAGTTTCTGCTGTGGGTAATATTATAAGGACACTTGTGTTTCTCTGCTGCCTACCTAATTCTCAGGCTTAATTCTTTGTAATATTGTGCAAGCAGACATGCAACAATGGAACTGCAGATTTTACAAATATATTACAAAAATGAATACAGTAGGAGTATTTTTTTTCAAAATGACACCAAGTAAATATAAGGTTGAAACTTGCGCCAGCCATTTTAATACTAATATTTCCATTTGAAAAAGTGACTTTTTCACTAGAATATAACTAATCATTATCTAGTATGTGATTCATGTCAGGAAATGTCAGAGGTCTGAATTTGAATTTAATATCCATCAGGAAACTTGCTCTAAGAAAAGTTGATCTCTGGTGAATCCAATGTGCACTGGGTTCACTCTCAGAGATACCAATGTAAGTTTTGTACTTGGTGTCACTTCAGAAAGTCAAAAAACTTAGGAGACCTATGTGTTGACCTAGAAGGTGTCCTCTTAGCTATCAAGTTTATAATCGGTCCTCAAAGGATATCAGTGAGTTTCACCAACTTAAACCAGGAAGTAAATGCAGCTAAACTTAGGACATACACATGCAAGTTATGACAGGAAGTTTATATAAAACCTGATCCATGATGTGAGAAGGCAGAATGCTTTTCAAGAAGATCAACTGTTCAAAGAAACCATTGTCAAATTATCATCATCTAAATCAAAGTCCAGAAGTGAATAAACAATTATTTTATGTATAAAAATTTAGTCTCATAATATTATCAGGCATTTCTATCATTAACCTTACTTCTTATATATAAAAAATTCTTGTATGAAAATAAAAGTTATTTCAAATTTCAAAATTGTATTTTCATGTGTCAGTGGTTGTCATGTTGTATTTATTTCTTAAGCATTGTATATTCAACTAAATTTACATTAATGAAAAAATTGTTTCCTCAATAAACACAATTATTTTTCCTTTTCTTAGACTGTAGTTGATTTGTCAGGAAGGTATGTTGATGTTTTCAGTCTAGGAGGTGAATCTAGCATGCAGCACCACTGGTAAATGCCTGAAAACCATAGCACAGTTTGACCCAAGCTTTGTGAATGAAATTGGATTTGATGAAACTGATCAGAAACCATTGATGGTCATGCTAGCATGAAGACACCAGTCATTGTATCTGAGGGATCAAGTATACTGGCCTTGTTCAAAACTTGATCATGTCAGATTATGCACTCTTTCCTAGAAACTGCAAGTAAGGTGCACTTGGGTGGGGTTTGTAGGTGCTGAACAAACACAAATGTGCCAGTTTAGTCACCCTAACAGATGGGTGTGCTTAGAAACATGTAACGTCATTATATATATATATATATATATATATATATATATATAAAAAAGGCAGGATGTGTGTGTGTAATGAATGCATGGCTGCAATGTTTGACGGATTTGCACCAAAATTTACATCCACATGCTCCAAGTTAGTGGGAAGGCAAACACTGACTTTGCATTTCCCAACTCCCATTGATAGTGGAAATAATCGATTTTTTTCGTGCTTCTACGGCAGTTTTCATTTAGTTTGCAGCCATTTTCTACTGGCAGAGTGAGAGCCTATAGCTGACTGCCACAAATAGGCAGAAAGATTCTATTGGCCAGCGTGAGAGCCAACAGCTGACTGGCACGAATGTTAACTAGCATGCAAAAATAATTGACATTCCAACCACCTGAAGAAGGCCGGAGCATGCAACAGCCGAAACGTTGTAATAAATATGACGACAAAGATGAGGACAATAGTCCGAATAATGTCAATAATGTACATAATACCTCATCTCAGAAATATAGACAAAATTTCCTGTTTCTTATTACTTTGTTTAGCTTTGGAATGCATCTGTTGCTAATACAATGTGCATTCAAATTTCAGTGTCATATTTTCTATCCTCTGTTAAAAACACTAAAACAAATTTCTACTATACTACCTACAACCAAATCATAGTACAAAAGAATAAATAAAATCCCATAATCAAAATCTAATGAATTTTATTTTAAATATCAAAATTTAAACATTGAAAAGATATGCAAGACAAATAAAGGAAATAGATAGATAAAATAAGAAATTTAATATTATAAATAAATAAACTAAACTAAAGCATTAACCCTAAGCAAAGGAATTGAGAAGGCTGGTTTCTACTCTCACTTCCCTTAATCCCTCAGTGACCTAAATATAGAGCCCATGAAAAAAGTTGTGACACATGGTTCAAAGAGGTATGAAACTAAGTCACTATGCAGTGTTGATTCCTATAATCACACTACAAACACTCTATCACTGATATTGAGCACTCTTCATCTATAAATATAGTAAATTTGAAACAAATATATATAATAAAAATGTAATAATAAAATTTTAAACCCATATATATATTAATTTTAAAATCAAGTCTCTTGAAGAGTGTATATAATTTCTGTGACATGATCAATGAATATTTAATTTTTGCTTTTAAATAAATATTAAGTATAAATAATCTTCAGTGTGCTCTTTGAAGAATTGAAACTGATCGAAGATGAAGCTTCGACTTTATTCATTTAAAAGGTTCAAGTTAAATACTTAAATCAGAAAATCAAGGACTAAAAGCCAATTGACAAGTGTTTACATTCTATCTGTGATTTGATTCTCTCACCTTGAGTTGTTCTTGATTCTCAATTTGTTTCTGGTTTTCTACTGCTTGCCCTATTTCTGCTGTGCCTTTCTCATTATTGTTATCCTTGCATCTTCTGTTCCAATTTCTCTTTTAATTTCTCTATTAGCTTTACCTTTTCTTTTCCCTGATACCTCTTTTCTTTCTTTTTCTTCCTTTTGCCCCTCCTCTTTTTTCTCTGGCACCTTTTCTCTCTCATCCTTTTATCTTTCTTTTTTCCTCACATATTTTTCACTCAGTCTTCTTTTCTTGCACTATTTTTGACTGTCTCTGTCTCTTCTTTTTGTCAGGTACCTTTTCTTTTTTTCTCCCTCTCTTCCCTTTGTCAAGTATCTTTTCTTTCTTTCTTTCTTTCTTTCTTTCTTTCTTTCTTTCTTTCTTTCTTTCTCTCTTCCCTTTCTCAGATATCTTTTTTTCTTTCACTTCCCTTTGTTAGGTATCTTTTTTCTTTCTTCCTTTTGTTAGGTATCTTTTCTTTTTCTCTCTCTTTTTGTCAGGTACCTTTTTTCTTTTTTCTTTTCTTTCTTTCTTTTCTTTCTTCCCTTTCTCAAGTATCTTTTTTTTTCCCTTTGTTTCTTTTCTTTTCTCTTTTTTATCAGGTACCTTTTCTTTCTTTCTCTCTTCCCTTTCTCAGGTATCTTTTTTCTTTCGCTTCCCTTTGTTAGGTATCTTTTCTTTCTCTCTTCCTTTTATCAGGTACCTTTTCTTTTTTTTTCCTCTCTCTCTCTCTTCCTTTTCTCAGGTACCTTTTCTTTTTTTTCTCTCTCTCTTCTTTTTGTCAAGTATCTTTTCTTTTTTCTTTCTTTCTTTCCTTTGTTTCTTTCTTTTGTCAAGTACCTTTTCTTTCTGTCTTTCTCTCTCTTTCTTACCTTTGTCAGCTACCTTTTCTTTCTCTCTCTCTCTCTCTTCCCTTTGTCAGGTACCTTTTCTTTCTTTCCCTCCCTTTCTTCCCTTTGTCAGGTACCTTTTTCTCTCTCTCTCTCTCTTTTTACCTTTGTCAGGTACCTTTTCTTTCTTTCCCTCCCTTTCCCTTTGTCAGCTACCTTTTCTTTCTCTCTCTCTCTCTTCCCTTTGTCAGGTACCTTTTCTTTCTTTCTCTTTTTTCCTTACCTTTGTTAGGTACCTTTTCTCTCTCTCTCTCTCTCTCTCTTCCCTTTGTCAGGAACCTTTTCTTTCTTTTTTTCTTTCTCTCTTCTCTTTGTCAGGTATCTTTTCTTTTTTTCTTTCACTCCCCTTTGTCAGGTACCTTTTCTTTCTTTTTTTCTCTCTCTCTTCTCTTTGTCAGATAACTTTTCTTTTTTCTCAAATCCAGTAGCTTTTATCGTTCTTTCCAGTAGTAATGGGAGTTTCCGTCTTAACCTTTTATTTGAAGTGGTGTAGAATGTTAACATATTGATTGTCATTATTTTCTCTTTGAGTCACATATGCTGTCCATTTTAGTTGTTGCTTCTGTTGAAAGTCCTCAAGTGATGTGGTCTCTGTTATTTGGTTCAGTTCTTTGTTTGTTATTCTGTAGTGCCAGTTCACAATGTTCAAAGAAGAATAATCTTAGCCCAAAACCCTCAAGCTTTAGTCACTCAAAGTCTTTTTTCATCATTGATCTTAGAAAGCAGCCATATTCAGCTGACACTTTCAATATTTCTGAATGGGTTTGGTGCCATGGATAACATCCATATAAAATAAGAAATAATAAAACCTTTAATGTTTCCAGATAATTGATTTAAACAAAATACCATGTTTCTACAGGATGTAGGTAATCATGGCTCTCCACAGACTCCTTTTCTTTATTATCCATGAATTGGCTTAACTGCTAGTAAAAATAGTGGAAATATTTCTATTGACTTCTCTGTAGTTTTTGAATTCAGAGTTGCTTCAGAATTACAAAAATAACCTTTAAAGAGAAAATCCATATTCTCTACCAAGAAAAAAGACTCAAGGTAAAGTATGATCTGGAATTGGAACAAAAATAGTAACAGCACCTACTCTGAATCCATCATGAAAATTCAAGATGTAGAATTAGTAAATACTAAACACTTTAAATACCAAGGTGTATGGATCAGTTATAATAAATTTAGTATAGGAGAAAAAGTAATTGAACATAGAATAGGCTGCACCAGAGGTAGTTTTGCTCAATGCCACAAGCTGCTACAAAACCAAAACATCAACCAGAATACTTATAACATGTTCTTAAATAGCCTTGTCAAATTGAGACTTTCATATGGATGTTCTGCATGATGCCAAATGCAATCAGAAATATCTAAAGTGTCAGTTGTCACTTTCTAAGATCACTAGGGAAAAAAGGTTTTGAGCAAGTGCAGCTTGAGCTTTTGTACATTTGTAGATTGGTGCTACAGAATCCCAAACAAAGAACTGTATCAGATAACAGAAACCATATCACTTGACGACTTTCAACAGCATCAACAAATAAAATGTAATTCAAAGAGAAAATAATAACATAATAAAGATGTTGAGATTCCACACTACTTCAAACAAAAGGTTAGGAAGGAAACCCCCATCAACATTGGAAAGAATGATAACAGCTACTGGACTTGAAAAACTTATTTTCTGAAAAAGATTTTTAAGAGAAAATTTTATAAATTTTAACTGAAAGCAGCACTGACTGCTCGGTCAATGAATGCCAAATGTCTCCTTGTGAGGAAACAGCTAATATTATCATTACCATTCCAAATGATACTCATAAGTTTATCTCTTGTTGTAGAGTAATGAAAAATCAAGATTTCAGATTGTACGATTAATACCATCTGAAATCTTGACTCTTATTTTGAGGGAAAATCTGTTTGTAAACAAATATCAAGGCAATTATCCAAGTGGTTTGGCTAATGCTTACAGATATAAGCAAAGTCATAAATTTAAAATCTACCATTTACATTTTGTTGTAGTAAAGAAAAGAAAAATTTTAAATTTATAGTAGCAATAAACACCTGCAATAGGTTTCTTTTGTCTCTCATCCGCAACACTTGTAACCAAATTACAGTTCAAACAATAGTCCATCGTAACAGTCCAACAGGTAATGTAGAAATGACAAAATAGGGTCACAAATCTAACCTTCACTTCTCACCATCAAAAAAATATATTTGTCCACCAAGCTCAGAAAAAATCCTCCCCTAGTAAGCGAAAAACAATAGCTTTTATTCACCAAGCAATTTTTCTGATTGGCCACACCATTCAGAGGAGGAAAGAACATTAGCATAGATTCTGATACTTAAAGTAGTAGACTTTTGCTAACTACTTTTGGTAATTTTTCTTCGGTAGATCACACACAAAAGAGAATCTTTTTTTTTTCAAGGTAAGTGATTATCTCTTTCACTACACATTTTAAGATGTTTTATGTAAGAGACTAAGGTAAACCATTCTCTTTTTATGGATTCATGCCTTCCCCAAGTGCATTAGTTGAAAATGAATGCAGCAGATTAGTTTGAAACTTGAACTTGACTCATCATTTCCACTTTCCATTCTAATAACTTATGCTATGCACACTTCCAAGATTATATATCTAATTTTAGGCTAAAATAAACATTGGAAGTTGTCAAATTTAGAATTCTTTGATTTGATTTCAAAATGTCCATAGACTTTAGTTTAATGAGTTTGTTTAGTATACTACCAAATTACAGTCTGAACCACAGTTTGAAAGTAAATCAGACAACTCCAATGATAAATCTACAAAGTGATGGTGACAGATTCAAAGCCTGCCAACTGAGATAGCAATGGATTAGAGAAGCAAAGTTCTATCAACTATTTCCATTGTCTTCTTTTATCGCCTTCTCACTTTCTTTGTCTTTTCCCTTTGTCTTTCTTCATCACATTTTCTTTTTCATGTCATTCTTTCTCCCTGTTTTTCTGTTGTCTTTCTTAATCAAGTTTTCTTCTTCATCATCTTCTCACTTTCTCTGTTTCTTTTGTTTTTCTTCATCACCTACTCACTTTCTATTTTTCTTTTGTCTTTCTTCATCACCTTCTCATTTTCTCTTTTTCCTTTGTCTTTCTTCATCACCTTCTCATTTTTTTTTTTTGTCTTTCTTCATTTTGTTTTCTTTTTTCTTTGTCTTTCTTCATCACCTTCCATTTCTCCTTTTCTTCTTTTTTTCCTTTGTCTTTCTTCATCACCATTTTCTCTTTTTCTTTTGTCTTTCTTTTTTTGTCTTTGTCTTTCATCACCTTCTCATTTTTTCTTTTTCTTTTGTCTTTCTTCATCACCTTCTCATTTTCTCTTTTTCCTTTGTCTTTCTTCATCACCTTCTCATTTTTTCTTTTTCTTTTGTCTTTCTTCATCACCTTCTCACTTTATCTTTTTCCTTTGTCTTTTTTCATCACCTTCTCATTTTTTCTTTTTCTTTTGTCTTTCTTCATCACCATTTTCACTTTCTCTTTTTCCTTTGTTTTTTTTTTTTTGTCTTTCTTCATCACCTTCTCACTTCATCTTTTTCCTTTTTCTTTCTTCATCACCTTCTCACTTTCTATTTTTCTTTTGTCTTTCTTCATCACCTTTTCACTTTCACTTTTTTCCTTGGGAGCAATGGTTATAAATTTTGGATAACTATGACTGTAAAATAGACATTTAGTTTACCATCAATACTTAGGAATACTTTTACCATCATTATTCTTTCTTTTCACTTTCTCTCTCTTTTTCTTTGTCGTTCCTCATCACTTTCTTCTCTTCATTTTCCACTTGTCTTTCTTTATCTTTTTCTCTCTTTTTCCTTTGTCTTTCTTCATCACCTTTTTATCTTCACCTCCTAACTTTCTTTCTCTTTTTCCTTCGTTGATCTTTATCACCTTTCCTTCTTCACCTCCTCCTCTCTTTTTCTATTTTCTTTCTCCATCACCAATTTCTTCTTACTTTCTCTTTTTCCTTCTTCTCTTTTGTTGGTCTTCTGATTAACCTTGCCCATGTCGGATCAATAAAACATCAAACATTTGATTGGAAAATCACTTCAAAGCATTCAACTCAAAGAATGATTGGCAGACAGTTGCTCCTCGATTTCTTGTGCCGTGCCATTTCTGATTATAGTTCATCAAATTGGTGCCACATCAGAAATTGAAATCTGCTGACTTGTTTGTGCAACTTACCTGTTGTCTTAGTAACATTTAAGATCTATCTTTGGATTGAGACATTTAATTTCAAAATTGGTGGTGGATGATATATTACATGGTTTCTTTGATACAGTTTTTGCTTTCTCATACATTGTTTGAAAATATACTGCCTGTATTCATGTATAAGTCAGTCCTTGATTTTTGGTTTAGAAATCCATAATCTATATTGATAATTAGGTAAAGTTTGACCCCTACTCATGAACTGTTACTGAAAATGAATATTGATAAATGGGTGCAATGGTTATAAATTTTTGATAACTATGATTGTAAAATTTAGTACACCATCAATACTAAGGAATTGTTTTACCATCATTATTAATGTCACCCAAAATGCACGTGTTGACCTCTCATTTAGTATAGACAGGTATTTCAGCTTGTGTATAAATGCCATTCAGCTTTTAGGGTGATATGTTAAGATAATTAATTTAATGATATATCAACTATGGTTTGGTTATATAATGTCAACAAAATCATTATAGAACAAAATTCACCATGAATTACTAGAAAGTTAGACATAGATCCACTGGGCCTCAGAATCAACACAGGATCTTACATCAAGTACCTTGAGGAAGTAGTGCTGCTCTGGGTCAAGAGGGTGGCTGGTGGAAGAAAGTATATCTGGTAACAAGACTCCTCTGCACAATGCCACACAAAAAGGAAAACCCAGTCATAGCTGTCAGACTATTTCTGCAACCACATCACCCATTACATCTGGCCACCTAACTCCCCAGACAGCAACTCACTTGATTATTATGTGTGAGACACAGTTGAACAACAGATCAACAAAACTCTTTTTTACACCAAAGATGAACTGAAGGCAAGGATTATGGCAGCATTCATCAACTTAAACAAGGCGGTCATCCAGAAGTGTCACAGGAGATTCCAAAGTTGTCTGGAGGCTGTGGTTGAAGCCAATGGTGATTTCCTTGAATAATTTACTCATTAGTATTTCAAGATATTTTTGCGTAATTTTGGTAAATATATCTGTTAAAATGAAATGTCAGTGTTATTTTCATTTTGTGTAATTTAGGCAAGAATTTATCTAATGCATCTACACTGATGTTCCAAAATGTAAACAACTTCCATACTTGTCGTCTATTTCACCATATATTCCTTCCCAAATTTGGCATTTAGATCACCCATAATAATAATAATAATTTGTTGTGATTTGCACTGGCTTTAAGCATTATCTAGTGGCTTGTAAAATTATCTATTTCTTCTTCCATACTTTGTGATATATGTGCATACTATGATAGCCTGTTATATGTCTTCATATTCATGCAATCACTATTCAACAGTTGCCACTATCCCAGAACATATTTCTTCTTGTTTTTATCTAATATTAGTCCTACTCTTCTTTCATTTCTCTCTGAGTGCATACACCCTTCTGTAGTTTTCACTTGTAAAGCCTTCATTGTTCATCCATCTAGTCTCACATACACCCAGAATATTGATATTTAATCTTTTCATTTCCTGGATTATATTTACTAACTTCCTACATTGTCCTAACATTTCATGTCTTAATTTTGATTTTTTTTTTTTATATTGACATTATGTTGATACATTCTTCAGACATGAAATTAGTAATTTACATACATGTAGTACCATCCAAAGAAGTTCATATGTCCATTTAAAAAAAATTACGTACATTGATAATGGCCAGATCCTTTGTGTTCAAGAATAAACTGGCAGTTTCTGGTAGGGACATGTTATCTGTGACCAACAGGAAGAAAGATCCGAGTGGTCAGAGATTATAACTTTGTCCATCAAGTCCATAACATCATCAACAGTAACTACAACAAATTAATAGGGGGGGGCATCACTAAGCAGTTTGCTATTAGAGATGTAATGAAGAAGAATATCATGTATAAGTCGTATGAGGAGGAGAGGGGAATTCATGTCTGAAGAGACTTCAGAGAACCATGTAATCTAATTGAAGTATATATATATATATATATATATATATATATATATATATATATATGTGTGTGTGTGTCTGTGTGTATATATGTGTATATACATATGTATATATGTATATGTATATGTGTGTGTGTGTATATATATATATATATATATAAAACACTTTAAATGTTATTTTTACTGGATACTCATATTTAAGTCCATGTTTTGTTTATTTATTAACAGATTGCAACATCTATCAGGGAGATGAAATTTAAATTCATGTCTGAAGAGACTTCAGAGAATCATGTAATCTAATTGAATATATATATATATATATATATATATGTGTGTGTGTGTATATATGTGTATATCCATATGTATATATGTATATGTATATATATATATGTATATGTGTGTGTGTGTGTGTGTGTATATATATATATATATATATATATATATATATAAAAAAACTTTAAATGTTATTTCTAGTGGATACTCATATTTAAGTCAATGTTTTGTTTATTTATTAACAGATTGCAACATCTATCAGGGAGATGAAATTTAAATTTTTTATTATTACATTATTCCAAAATTTTAACACATCAGCAGATAGCTATTGATGTCAACAACTGATCACAAATAGTTATTAATTAAAAAAAATTAGTTATTAATATAAATCCATAACTACACGTACAAAAATGTCGTTTTTGATAAAAGTTTAAAAACAATTATAAATACATAAAAAATGCATATATTGTCAAAAATTCCTTTTTCCACAATATAAATAATTTGTGCTATGTTATAATGCTTATTACCTAAACAATAATAATATTATTTTTAAACATTAAAGTAGATTTAACCAAATCTTTCTTATAGCTGTCAAGATCTGTAAACAGTATATTTATTTATTTTTGCGTACCGGCCTGAATAGCATAAAATTGACTTTATCTGTCTTTTCTTTTGTGGCCAAGTGGTAAGGCTCACTGGACTAAATGGTGGCGCCTTCTGTCCTGATGGATACGGGTTTGATTCCTGAATTCCAAATGGCACAAAATTTTTCTTTAATAAGATTTCTTGAATATTCAGGCTGGTAGTTGAAAATAAATGGATATACTGGTTTAATAAATAAATGAAATGCCTACTCAAATACAAATAGCCACTAAAAATAATGTTTAAAGTGATCAAAATCTGCTGGAATAATTATAATAAATTCTAAAAAATAAAAAAAGAATATATATATATATATATATATATATATATATATATATATATTATTTAAAATATGATTCCAACTCGTGACATAAGAGGTTTAATGTTTCAAAACAAGATCCGAAAACTTCAATATAATTATTTGAATTAAATTGAGTTAAAGTGAGTCTAAATTTGAAACGGAAGATGTATTAACCCTAGTCTGGCATGCTCGTCTATGGAGATTTATTTATTTTTTATTTTATTTTTATTTTTTTTTGTGAAAGGGTTTGTACATATAAAAAAAAAACTGCCGTAACGTTTGTTTTTTTGACGACTTCATAAAGGGTTATCTTTTTTGTAGGGTATTTAAACTATTTATTTGGGCTACGGATTATGAAAGTTATTATATTGTATGCTTGTTCTTAGCTAATTATTCAGACCATGAATATATATATATATATATATATATATATATATATATATATATATATATATAATGGGAGAAGATGTTATATTATGCTACTTTTAATTAAAAGAGAAAGCAATTTACTAAGCTGAAAGTGTATAGCAAATGCTTTAATTGATAAATCATCCACAGTAAATTTACGTCTAGGTTCTTCCAACATTTCACCTTTCTTGACAGAACTTAATCATACGAAGAACTCTTCTCCATGAAGTGATGTTTTAGAGAAGACCAATATTGTGTATTGGTTTAAATGTCCTTTGGGAGATTGTATCTCTGACAAAAAAGTAAGTACATATGTTGGTTTGGTGGCAATAACATTATCAAGACATCTTACACTCTATTTATCAGATACAAGTTCTATCACACACCATTTAAAGACAAATTCCTGCCCACCTTCTCAATACAGGAAAATACTTTTTGACAGCACCAATATACTCCACCATGAAAATAATAAACAAAACTTCAAATTCTCAAGGCCCTCTAAATCAAAAGTAATCAACAAACACTGAACAAAATTTATTACGAGTAGAGTAGCAATGTTTTAAAATGCATTTCAGTTGACTAACATTTAACACCATTTTACAATTTACTATCTCTGGTTATCCCCCTTGCATTTGGAAACTGGTTTACAAAATGTTGTAACCACAACAGCTAATTTTAAAATAATTATAGCAGAGTGCATATGCAAAAATTAGAATCATAATGATTACAATTACATTAAATTTGTCTTTGCAATTCACCCCTGAGGATGATCGCGGAGGAGATCAAAAGTGCTTGGGTTAACAAAAATATGGCACTTTCCTTGATGAATTTCAACTTAACATCAAGAAGATGATTAGAAAACTAGAAAGACTTATTATAAAATAAATAAATATTATATGTCTATATTATTTAATGAAACATGCTTGAATGAAGATAAGGAGCCTATATATATATATATATATATATATATATATATATATATATATATATATATATATATATATATATATGTACAGGGTGTGATGTATAAATTGTCTAAATTACGCAAAAACAAAAATAAAACTGACATCTCATTTTAACAGACATATTTACCAAAAAAATCTTGAAATACTAAAGAGTAAATTTATTCAATAAAATTGTCATTGGCTTCAACTATGGCCCCCAGACGACTTTGGAATCTCCTGCATCTCTTCTGGACAATCTCCTTGCTGCCATAATCCTTGCCTTCAGTCATCTTTCGTGTTCCAAGGAGTTTTGTTGGTTTCTCGTTAAACTGTGCCCCACACAATAATCAAGGAAGTTGCAGTCTGGGGAGTTAAGAGGTCAGATGTAAGGGGTGATGTGGTCACAGAAATTGTCTGACAGCTACGATTGGGTTCTCCTGCTTGTGTGTCATGGTACAGAGTCCTGTTGCCGGACATAGGGTCTTCCAGCAGCCACCCTCTTGACCCAGGGCAGCACTACCTCCTCAAAGTACTTGTTGTAGGTCTCTGTTTTGAGTCTGAGGCCCTGTGGGAAGATTAATAGAAGCATAACATCAGCATCACCAGCAATCACTCGAAAAATCTTTGTAATCACCATTAGACTCATCCAACTCTTTCCAAATCCTCTGTACTGTCCTTAGATTGACATCCAAACATTCTGAAATGCTCATATTGGAGCTTTCAGTATGAATACCAAGCAGTACAGAATACTGTTTACAAATTTCTGGTCGAGTGAATTGTGTCATGGTGCTTTTTTTCTCACAGATGATGCCCAACTGAGCCCTCTATACTGAGCAGTTGACAAAATCTAAAATAAACAATGTGCATGCATGAAATTGAAAATATAAAATGGCAACATTTTATCCACTGCCTCCTGTGTGTGTATATATATATATATATATATATATATATATATATAGTCATCCATAGACAGACTGTTTCACTGTATCACAGCTCCTCACTGATTGCTTCAAGCCAGGATCAAAACCTGACTGATTTAACATCAGTCAGATATCTTACCCCTAGGCCATTATGGCATGGCAGAAAGGAAGGGAATTTTAATGTTTTTTTTTCTATATGAAATATGCCAGCAGCTCAGAGAACTCAATTCATACTTGAATAGTAATGCTTAATAGCAGTAGGAGCTGCTGTTTTTAAAAAAACCTTTCTCTTGAGAGCTCAACCAGAATATACACATAGTGTTTAGGTAAAAATTCAGGTATAACTAGAAATATATCTGTAAAAGTACAATATGAATAAAGACAAAAGGAAAACTTATCTTAGCTGATGCATGTCTGTGTATAGTAGAAATAATCATATTGTTATTTAATACATATCCACTCACACCACACTTAGTTAAGTACATCAGTCAGTAGGCTAATGATGAAAAACATTTCTTTTACACAGCAAATATTTTTCTCTTTCTTGTCAATGCATTGAATTTGGTAGTGAATATAAATGATAGACATTGAAACTTATCCAGTGAAAATTTAAAATAAAAATGCAGCTATGTATCAGGCTACAGACTTATTGATGCACCCCCATATATTGAATCTATTGTCTTTTAAAGATATACTTAGCACTTTCAGCATGAACAGTTTTTGTTTTGTCTTTCTTATGCACAATAGATAAAGTAGTGGAAATGTTAACTAAGTGTCCTTTGACATTGTATGCATTAAAATTGAAGAATTAGATTTCATCCAATAATATGCAATGATGCATGAGAAGATTAATTAATTTAATTTCTATAGATAAAGAAACCTTCTTGATAATAAAAGAGAAGGTCTTATGCAAGACCTTTCTGGAACCAAATAGACATTAGAATGATTTTTTTTTAGATTTGGAAATGTTAAAGCTGCGCAGTAATTATCCTTTTTATATTTGTAGAATTACGTTTTTTGTTTTTTATTATGTTCATGAAATACAATTACATTGTGGCATGCTCTTCTTCTTAAAATTAATGTTTTTGTTTTCTTTATCTGACTCTCCCTCTCTTTCACTATTGTTTTCAACTTTACTTTCTCATTAATTTCTCTCCGTCTTCCTCACTAGCTTTCTTTCACATTTTTTTATCTTTTTCCTCCTTTCTTCCTCCCACCGTCTCTTATCTTCCTTTCCTCCTCCCACTGTGTCTTATCCTCCTTTCCTCCTCCCACTGTGTCTTTCTTCCCCTTCCTCCTCCTGCCATGCTTCCTTTCCTCCTCCTTTCTTCCTTTCCTCCTCCTGCCATGTCTTTCTTCCTTTCCTCCTCCTGCCATGCCTTTCTTCCTTTCCTCTTCTCACCATGCCTTTCTTCCTTTCCTCCTCCTGCCATGCCTTTCTTCCTTTCCTCCTCCTGCCATGCCTTTCTTCCTTTCCTCCTTTCGCCATGCCTTTCTTCCTTTTCCCCTTCCATGCCTTTCTTCCTTTCCTCCTCCTGCCATGCCTTTCTTCCTTTCCTCCTCCTGCCATGCCTTTCTTCCTTTCGCCATGCCTTTCTTCCTTTCCTCCTCCTGCCATGTCTTTCTTCCTTTCCTCCTCCTGCCATGCCTTTCTTCCTTTCCTCCTTTCGCCATGCTTTTCTTCCTTTCCCCCTCTCGCCATGCCTTTCTTCCTTTCCTCCTCCTGCCATGCCTTTCTTCCTTTCCTCCTCCTGTCATGCCTTTCTTCCTTTTTGCTTACCACCATGTCCTTCTTCCTTTTCTCCTTCTACTGTACCCTGTCTTCCTTCCTCCTCTCATTGTATCTCTATCTCTCTCTGTTCACATTTTATTTTTGTATTTGTACATAGTGGGGAAGACTTCTTAAATAAAATAGATTAAAATATGTCATGCCTGCTGCCTAAGAAAATGCCAAATAACTGAGTATCTAAAATTTAAAAAAAATGTAACAAAAAATTATAAAAAGAAATGAGAAAAATGTTTAAAAAAGATTTCTTGACATTATTGGCCAAGTTCGTTCAAGGTGATTGGCTTTAATAACTGTCAAACTTTTGCTAGAGCATGAATAAGCATGTGTAAAAGGTGGCTGGGTGAACATGAAAGAAAGAAGGGGTCAGGGTGGTTACAGAGAGAGAGAGAGATTCTATGTTAGAAGTAATTTTGGTAGGAGGAATTAATCAGTAATGGATGGAGGTAAGAAAAGAGACTTGAAGTTTAATATTGGAAATTGAGGTATGCATTTTTGTGTTCATGTCAGTAAAAAGGTTTATGTAGCTGTATATTTTGTTCTTAAATAAGATGTACATGTACAAGACATGCTTATAAGAAGTACAAAGATGTAGAATTTGTATAAATCCATGCATTATTTGGATTAACATCCTCATCTTTGTTGACCTGATTACAGTGGTTTAAAAAAAATAGGGAATAATAAAAGAAAATAGAATAAGGAAAGAAAAAAGAAAAGAAAATAGTAGAAAGAAAGAAAATGGAATAAGGAAAGAAAATAAAATGAAGAAAGAATATATAAAAGAAAATAGAATAAGGAAAGAAAATGGAATGAAGAAAGAAAATGGAATAATAAAAGTCAATAGAAAAGAAAATAGAAAAAGGAAAGAAATTAGAATCAGGGGAGAAAAAGAAAAGAAAATAGTAAAGAAAAAAATCAAGAAGGAAAGAAAACAGAATAAGGAAAGAAAATAGAATCAGGAGAGAAAATGAAATAAGGAAAGGAAAAAGAATAGAAAAAAGAAAAGAAAATAGAAAAGAAAAAATCAAGAATGAAAGAAAATAGAATCAGGAGAGAAAAAGAAAAGAAAATAGAATTGGGGAGAAAAGAAAATAGAAAAGAAAAATCTAGAAGGAAAGAAAATGGGAAAGAAAATAGAATCAGGAGAGGAAATAGAATAAGGAAAGGAAAAAGAAAAGAAAATAGAATTGGGGAGAAGGAAAATAGAAAATAGAAAAGAAAACTTAAGAATGAAAGAAAATAGAATCATGGGAGAAAAAGAAAAGAAAATAGAAAAGAAAAATCTAGAAGGAAAGAAAATAGAATAAGGAAAGAAAAAGGAAAAGAAAATAGAATCGGGGAGAAAAGAAAATAGAAAAGAAAAATCTCGAAGGAAAGAAAATGGAAAAGAAAATAGAATCAGGAGAGGAAATAGAATAAGGAAAGGAAAAAGAAAATAGAATTGGGGAGAAAAGAAAATAGAAAAGAAAAATCTAGAAGGAAAGCAAATAGAAAAGAAAATAGAATCAGGAGAGGAAATAGAATAAGGAAAGGAAAAAGAAAAGAAAATAGAATTGGGGAGAAAAGAAAATAGAAAAGAAAAATTTAGAAGGAAAGAAAATGAAAAAGAAAATAGAATCAGGAGAGGAAATAGAATAAGGAAAGGAAAAAGAAAAAAAAGAAAATCGGGGAAAAAAAGAAAATAAAATAAAATGAAAAACAAATTAGAATAACAAAAAGAAAAATAAACAAAAAGGGAAATAAAGACAAAAACAAGAAGTAAAAAGAAAAAACCTACAAAAATGTTTTGTGCAATTGAAGAGGTTTGGAAAGCCATAACATATGAAAATATAAAAGTGAATAATGAAATAATATTTCTTCACTCTCAAACATTTGTCCTTATGTTTAGGATTCATTGTTGTGAATCATTCCATTATTTCTGTCAGATACATTTTCTTTAACATTTTATTACCTATTGTTCCACTTGTGGAACATATTTTAAGACAGTTTAATAATGTACACAGATAAGACTAGAATACAATTAATAATTTAGTATATAAAAAAATGTCATATTTTATGTTCCACTAGTGGGACAATGGGCATCCAAAGGTTAATAAGACTTTTTAAGTCTTGGCCAGTGGATATTAATTTCTCTGTTTTAAAAAAATATAGGGATGTTTGTTCAAACATGTGTATCCATAGAAACATTATTTATAATAAAAATAATGTAAAAGTAAGATTAATTAATTGCTTAAATTGCAATGTTTATGTATTAGGTACCAAAATATATTGAGGCTTGCTTTGCTATAGAGACCTCTGTAGCTGAACAGTAAAGTATGCTTGGCTAAAAGATGATTTCCCAGGATAAGGGAATACAGGTCTGACTGCTGCCAAGAGGTATATTTTCTTTAATAAATTTTTCTGTGTCTAGGCTAATGGACAATTCTCAGTTTGAAACAAAAAAAATAATAAAAAAACAGGGGTGTCCACTCAAACATGTGTGTCTATAATAATAATGTTTATAGAAGTTGTAATATCTATCTATCTATCTATCTATCTATCTATCTATCTATCTATCTATCTATCTATCTATTGCCAGAATCTGTTGCTTTGCAATGCACAAAGTATGTCATCCTAGTCCACATAAAATGAATAAATTATGTTTCCCATCTTAACTAAGTGCCAAAAACATTACAAATTGTAGCAATGGACACTGACGTTTTTTTTTTATAAACGTTTTGAAGTCTATTGCAATAATTTAAATATCTTTTTCAAAGTTTGCATTTTCATTTTAATTTCATGTGAATAGAATAAAATTAGTTGTAAAAAAATAAAAACAAAAATTACTTTTGTGTACTTAAAGCATGTTTTAAAATTTTTTAATATCAATTTTGTCATCCAAAATTAACTTTGATTACACCACCATTGATGCCTGCCAAACAGAAAAAAAAATTAAAGCATGTAATTAAAAATCTTACAAAAATAAAGAAGACATAATAGAAATATTGAATTCAATGAAAACTTTCTAGCCTTATGATAACAGCTGAACATGTAAATTACAAATTGACGATACTGAAATCATGCAAGTACAACAACTTAAATATCTGGGAAGTGTTTTAACAGAGGATGGAAAGTGTAACACTGAAATCTGAAAGTTGCATTGAGATAGCGGAAGATATTTTTCAAAAGCTAAGCAAAATATTAAGAAACAGAAAAATTTTGTTAGAATCAAAGAATAGAGTACTGATCTGTTACATAATATCAGTCCTCTTATATGGCAGTGAATGCTGAACAATCTCTTCCCAGATGAAGAAGAGACTTGAAGCAACAGAAATGTGGTTCTACAGAAGGATACGGGGGATACTATAATCCAAACATGTGAGCAACAACAATGTTCTAAATGGATACAAAAAGGGTACTTATACTTAACATCAGGAAGAGAGAGTTGAAATTTCTAATGAAGAAAGAGGGCTGGAAAAACTTGAAAACTCACAGGACAGACTGAAGGCAAGAGGGACAGAGGAGAACAATGAATAAACTATCTGGCATTGCTTGAGTAAATGGATGGTGGAACATGTTTTGGGAGAGGTAGCAAAAAGACAAAATTTATTAAGAACTACAAAGGACAGGAAATTGTGGAGCGCCATGATTACCAAGAGATATGGTAAATAGAAAAACTAGATTTTGAAAAAACTATAAATTACTTTATAGTTAAAATACAGTGGAAAATAAACTTGTTTACAGTAGGTGTCTGTTATCTATCAACTTAGTTCAAAGGTCAATTGATTAATTAGTTTTCTGTGGCTTATCAACCTATTGCAGGTTATTTAAAGCCAGAAAATATTTTGATTGTAAGAAATTTTGGGCAGATAATAATGATTTAGTGATACAAGTCTTAATAATTAACCCATAGCTGGAGGGTGGAGGAGTGGAAAGGAATGTCCACATAAGTGAATATAATGACCCCAACTGGAATTGCAACTCTGCTCTCCGATTAACAATTATCCATTATACCATGCACACATCCAAGCTTACAGCACCTGATGTTCCCAAATTGTCACCCATCTATGTAATGATCAGGTTTGATGTTGCTTAACTTTGGTGATCATATGGAAACCTGTGTTTCAACATGATGTGGTCATAAACCAAGTGGATATTGAATTAGCTTTCCTTATCCATATATGATAAAAGCCAGTTTAAATTTATGAGCCTTCCATAGGACAGCTGAATATGGATGACCAAAAATGATAAAACCTGATCTTGACCACAAAGGCAAACACTGTTATATGATGGTAGCACTCCAATTTATGAGTAAAAGTCAGTTTAAATTTATGAACTTTCCATAGGACAGCTAAATATAGATGACCAAAAATGATAAAACCTGATATTGATCAGAAAGGCAAACCACTGTTATATAAAGGTAGTACTCCAATTTATGAGTAAAAGTCATTTTTTCTTGTACTATTTTCAAGATTAAATTTATGGGGTGAATTATTTCATAATTGATACTTGTGAGGAATGGCGTTTCATCCCAAAATCACAATTTGACATCAGCCAAAAATTATACTGAAATTAATTTGCCACTATTTACAATGTTCAAACTGTTGTTGTCATCTTTATTATCATATTCATGACATTACAGTTGTTGTATTCTTTGACCTTCCTCAGGTGATATACATTGGAATTTCAAACTGAACACTTTATTTAGTCCACAGGGGTAGATTGTTCTAATTCCACTTGTCATGCATTTTGGATATCTCAGTTTCATTATTTACATTATTTGGACTATTGTCCTCATCTTTGTCGCCATATTTATCACAACGTTTCAGCCGTTGTATGCTCCGGCCTTCTTCAGGTTGTTTGGAATTTCGAACTCAACCCTTTATTTTGCTCACTGTTCTACTTCCACGTGTCATGTTTGATGGATGTCAGTTATCAGTTATCTCCTGTTAATTTCCCTCTGAAAGTTCTCCACTGCCTTAACAAGGTATTGAACTCACACTCTTTGGGTCCTGTCACTGGATCTAACCAACACCTTTATCCACTGTGCCATGTGTCCTTGAGGACACATGGCACAGTTCGAAATTCCAACTACCAATTAGATAAATAAAAGATTAAGACATATCATCTGGAACTCTTCTGAACAGTTGTCTCTGAATTACTAGGAGGAGAATTTAGTGACATAGTAATTGTGAGTTCAATCCCTGGGCTGTGCAGTGTGTACTTGGACTCAGTGGCAACAGGGCAAGCAATAACTGAGAAGTAATAAAAAAAGAATGAGATATTCCTAGACATGAGCACTGGAATGAGAACAGTCTAACTTTGTTGATTTAATAAAAGGCTCAGTTTGGTATTTCCTTTAAGTAACCTGGATTATTATACACCTGTTGAAAGCTGGAGAGCACAATGCCTGAAACGTAATAATAGCATTAAAGATGTAGCCAATAGTCTAAAGGAAAATAGTGTAAATAAATTATATGTATAATCAGAAACAGTTTTATATAGATATAATTATACAATCCACCTGAAAATCACTTTGCTGTTGAAACTTATAGTCATATATTTCTGCTCTTATAGTCATATATTTTTGATCTTTTCTGGATTGGAATTTTCTCTTTGAGATTTTCTTGGAATTGAGTGCTACCATTTTTTAATTTTTTTGTTTTTTTTTGCATAGTTCAAGTAGCTTCCCTGGTAGTTTTTTTCTTTTCTTTTAAAAACTACTCATAATTATGTGCTTATTTAAATTTTTCTGTTCTCTTGTTCACTAATATTTTTATAAATTAACCTTTAACATTCTGGAGGTGATTTTGTTTGAAAATCAAAAATTTTATCCTGCCACTTCAAGTGACTCAGATCAATAAATGATCGCATTTTTGAATTTTGCAGTTGTGTTGTCATATCCTGCTATGGCAACAGAAAATGACCATAACTGAATTAAATAGCACAGTAGAGGAGTCTTTGTAAACAATGCAATGGAAAGGAAAATACTGAATAATGCAGTGTGTTAAAGTAGATAAAAAATTGTTTTCATAGTTATTTCTGTATTATATAATAAATAATAAATTTGTCTATATTTCTGAGATGAGGTATTATGTACAGTATTTACATTAGTCGGACTATTGTCCTCATCTTTGTCGCAATGATAACAGCAAAAAAATTGCAATATGAGCACTGGTAAAAATGATGCTGAAAACATTAGGTTTATAATACTCAGAAGTTCATACCCAGATGTCCTCAAGGACACATGGCACAGTGGATAAAGGCGTGACAGACCCAAAGAAGGTGAGTTCAATTCCTGGTTAAGGCAGTGGAGAACTTTCAGAGGGAAAATTATCAGGAGATAACTGATAACTGACATCCATCAAACATGGCACGTGGAATTAGAACAGTCTACCCCAGCGATCGAAATAAAGGGTTCAGTTCGAAATTCCAACCACCTGAAGAAGGCCGGAGCGTACAACGGCCGAAACGTTGTGACAAATATGGCGACAAAGATGAGGACAATAGTCCGACTAATGTAAATACTGTAAATAATAAATATTGCATTTTAGTTGGTTCATATATTCTTATAAAATTGTGAATATAAAATTATCCATGGGAACAATCTAATAAAATATTATTTAATACTTTATACTCTGTTTTGTGTTTGAGGCATTTGCACTGTCTTGTAGACAGTGAATTATTTTTAACCCTAAAGCCATTTTCTCACAGATAAAATGTCACAAATCTATTACTATTCTATTGTTATCTTCATGGCAAAAGAGCTACATTCCTTAGTTCCAGCAGATCAGACTTTTACACCTAAGATACATCATGTAACATACACAGGGTTGA